TCCTTGTTTATGAAATGTGAATGTGACGTAGAGTTTGCAGAGTTGGTGTAAGAGTCTTCTGAGAGGAGATTTACACTGTATAATTCGGGTCCAGTGAAGAGACTGGCTGGACTCAGCAAAACTCGGGACCAGGCTAGCTGGCAGAGCTGACTTCTCTACTACTAAAAGGAAACTTGGGTCCCAACCAGTCTCACCTGACCTGACTCCAGGCTCACAAACCTGAAGTCTTCGGTGACACAGAAATTGAATCAGCTTGCTATAGAGTGTCAGATGTGCTAAGCTAATGTAACTCATCATTTCTAGCTCTTTATCTAAAATTGGGTTTAGCAGGAGAAATTCATTCCATGGAAGAAAACACCAGGTAGTAAACAGATTAGTGAACTAAGTCAAGAGAGCAGATTATGAATAACAAGACCCTGGTAGCAAAGATCCACCAGCTTTTCCTGTGTACTGACCATGACTGACAACTTGAGGCAACACAGGGATATTCCCTAGTTTCAGAATGCTAAGCACTCACAACAATTAGAATAACAATTAGATACTGGATTCTCAGATGGGCCATGTTTTTAGTACTTACATATAGGGTAAAGAGGTAACATTTAGAATGTGTGTCCCTGAGTGGATGAACTACTGGTAATTTAATTCTCTTCTTTGCTGCTTTCTCTCTCATCCTCTCTGCACTGTTCATTGTGGTTTAGCATCCTACCCGAACCACAGCTAATTTTCTACCTTGAGCTTTGTCCTCAATTTCTTCTCGTACAGCGCAATCTCAGTAGCAGGAAAAAAAAGACAAGTGGAAAATTCCCATGGATCTAGGTGAGCAAAGTAATTTCAGGCCTTCCGGGTGGTGAGGATGGTAGAGTGGGCAGGAAGAACACTGACCTTGGAGTCACATGGCCATGGTTCAAGACCCAGTTCTGCCGCTTACTCACAGGAGACACTGACTGGTCTCTTAATGTCCATGAGCTGCAGTAACCTAATTTGCAAATGGAGATAACAGTCATTGGCCTATAGCCTCTCAGGGATTGTTGTGAGGGTCAAATGAGACAGATTGTGACCAGTGCTGTGAAGTCCTAAATATGCGCACTGGATTTGTGTTATCTCTGTGATAACATGTCTCTTAGCTTGTCACAGGGAAGACCCCCATCCCTCCAGGGAACTAACTATTCCCACTTACTGTCCACTCCAAGTCACCTGCATAGTGTCTAGCACAGTCCTCGCTCCCCTGTGCTCGCAAGAGCTCTATGATCACTGCCTTCTTATGCCATTTCATTTGCTGCATCAATCTCTTCTTCTGGGCATTTTATGGACATATACTAAGTGCCTCAGACACTGTGCTATGCACTAGGGATAAATATAAGTAAGTTTTGCTTCCTGATGTTCTAGGAATAGTCCATCATGGAAAACTCACTCTCATGCTAGTAAATTCAAATTGGGTCTCAAACATGCCCCTTCTGGTCTTGTGTTACACCTGTTCCTTAGTTCTGTAATACTGGTGTGATGTGTGTGTCTTCATTATCCCTAAGCTTAGCAAGTCTAATGCTTTCCTTTCCTAGCAGCACAAGAGCCTAACTCCACAGCTATGAGCAAGGCCATCAGCATTTCCCCATTGAAAAAGTAGGTGGTAGAAGCTCTTAATTTTTCTTCTTTCAAGGCACTAACATTAATTCTCTCAACTATTCTTGGATGATGGTTCTTAGAGGAACCTTCTTGGTTCCTACAGGTAATCCCACAGCCCACTCTGAGCACAACTATTGGGTGACAGGAGTAACTTATTCCTTGTGTCTCCAGCTTCTCTCCGCTTTGCCCCATCCCATACAGGGCTGCCCAGTGGATTTTCCCGCCCAACTAATCTGACTCTGCAGCAATATTTTCCCCTGGGTTGGGATTCCCTGGATACCCAGGTGTACAGCCTCACTCATACTATCACACACACTCACATGGTGCCTTGAAATGATCCCTTTAGTGGCCAAGATGTAGTTTGTGTATCAGTGATAATATTTTAATGAATGCAGCTTTTCTCAGAAGGAAGGAGTTAAGAATTAATTCCATCAGCTATGTAGCAAAGGCCACCAAGTAAAATAGTAAGGACAGGCTCTGAGGTGAGAGCCTCACCTCATCTTTCAGTTCCTCACGTTGTAGAAGGAATAATGAAGCCAGGGGCCCATGGGATTGGTCCCCCTTCTCTAATGACACTTGGTTGCCAACATTGATGAGATTCTAATATTCTCAAATGGACTGATGATAAATAAACACCTTTTTTTTTTTTTATCCTAAATAGACAAGTTGCAGCTCGGAAATTTTTCAGTTTTTCTCATTGCAAAATCAATACCCATCAGCAGTTTGAAATTAAAGGCAAGATTAGGCCTCAGTTTTATACAAGCCATATTGTATTCCAGAAGCTTTCTACAAAGTCAGATAAATCTTCTTTAAGAGGATTAGGAAACTTTCATTATCTTTATCTAACCTGAACTAACACTAAGTCTGAAAAATTAATCTATACACTGGACAAAAGCCGATAGTTGCTGGGAAGAAGGAGGACTCTTGGACATCCTTCTAATTGAGCAGTGGAGTCTCTGCTTCCACCCTCTGGAAAATCCAATGGGCCTCAAAAGGAGGAGCGAGCCACCCCATTGTCAATCAAGACAGAGGAGAAGGCAGCACTCCGAGGTCTTTTTTTTCAGCTCTGAGTGAACGTAAAGATCCATCTGCTAACTGTTCCGAGAGAAGGTCCTCTCCTCTGCCTCCACCCTCCCAGTCTTTTAATCGACAGCACCAGCTACCTCCGACTCCCAGAGCTACAAGAGGGACTTGGCCTGCACGTGGAGCTGGGGAGGGACCTGAACCCTGGAATCAAAGACTGCTGCTCCACCTCTTGCCTGTGTGCAGACCCTTCCTGACCCAATGTTTAAGGCCAACAGGGAGACACCGCTGGCTGCTGTGTCCAGCCCCAGGCACAGCTGCCCGTGCCTTGTAAGGACACTGCCCCCGAAGCGCTGCACTGCTGGCATTCATGGCCTGCATTGACTGTGACATGCCTATACAACCTGTCTGTTTCGTGAAAATAGACAGGTTGTCTATTTGAGTCTGTATGCTGCCTGACAGTTGTTTTTTATTCCAGTACCACATTTCCTGAATTTGAAGAGAACTTTGCTATCAAGGCCACGAGAACACCACAGAGGTATCAACTGCCAATGCCGAGAACTTTTGATCTTCTGCCCCCAAGGCCAGGTGCCAGGCGGGGGATAGAGAGCTCATCCTCCACTGTCATCTGCACCCCCAGACATGTTGAACAGGCATTGCAGCTCATCTCTGATGACTGATCTCACCGCCTCCTCCCCGCCCTCTGAGGAGGAGCATTGGTAGTGACAGTTGTCTCTACCTCCAGATGGCAAACTGTCTTACAGCGCCAAAGCAGTGATCGTGACCAAACCATACCCCTGGGTGGGACATGTGTGGAGAAGAGAAACAGCAGAGTGTACAGACGTCTGTCATATGGCAGGCTGCTCTGGGGCCTGAGAGCATGAGGGGGTGAGAGAAGGGATTGGGAGCAGGACGAGGCACGGCTTGGAGCAACAGGGCAGCACCAGGGCCTGTGCCGTACAGACAGACAGCACTCTGGCCCGGCACATGCTATTAGAAATGGCTCAGAGTCAGAGACCCAGGGGCTGTGCTGGCAAAGAGCTGCCTCCTGAACTGTATGAGTGACTGAAGCAGGAAGAGACATGAACCCTCACTCTAGCTCCCCATGACACCAAATGAAACAAGCAACACCAGATTTTCTAGAAAAGCAGGATCAAGAGAGTCCATATCAACTAAGTGAGGATGCCATACACATTTCATAAGCTCACAAATCTGTTGTATTTGCTGCAGATGGAATCTGATAAAAGGCAGTTACTAAAGATTAAATCAGACACAGTGACTCCTTCCAAGAGCTCAGTTCATGGTCCCAAGACACTAGTATAGGAGACCCTGAGAGGCCCGCCCACATCTCTCACCTGGTGGAGGAAGGACAGAAGGATGTGCCCTTGGAGGACGGGAGCTGGCTTAACCCTTCATTGTTACCATGAGTCGAAACTGACATAAACTGCTTTACACAGTGATGGAGAGGTTTGTGCAGTTAGCTGGGAGCAGTTCAAACTATGTTTGTATTGCTGCCTTGTTCTTAAATGGTTCTCAGATTCTCCTAACTGCTACCTGAACGTGTTTCTAGTATTTAACAGTTGATCCCTGAGATTCTAACATTTCTTCAGCCCCATTTTTTTCCTACAAAGTGCAATTTGAATAAAAAATATCAAATATTATGCCTGGGTTATACCAATTCAGATTTTTTGAAAAGGGAGAATAAGAGAGAATGTCAGGGATTCGATTCCCCCTTTTTAATTACATAGATTCATTTCCACATACACTTGGAAATACGATTCTGACTAATCTCTCCTGATTGCACCTCCGCTGTGGGGCTGGGAGAGGCACTGGGGTGGCAGCAATGCCAGGAAGGACCTGAAGAAACAGGTTCATGACCCCTTCTGGGACATGCATGCTTGTCACATATGCAAAAGCAGTCCCAGTTCACATGATTCCATGTCAACAATATTAACCGTTTCCTATAAGAGATACTTACAGACAGATCTCTACATGAACAGTATCATATCTTATTATAGTTATGTTTACATGTATGGATATTGTGTCTATTTTTTAAATATATCTAGCCCCAATCCCAGAGTAGTAAATAACTGAAGAGAGCTCAACCAACACGCATCAAACAAGTTACTGGTAAGAACTGGAATATCAGAAATAAAATTGGGAAACTCCTTGAAAATATTGAGTACTCAGTCAAGAACCCGGCAGGTGAGAAGGAATCTGGCACTTAAACTCAACCTGTGGATTCTGTAGAGGAAAAGCACTTTTTGTGTCTATACAAGAGCAGATGCAAAGACTGAAACTGTGCTTCCCTCTGTGGTTGACAGGAATCTTGACCTGCAAATCCAGCTGTAACTCACCTTGCACGATGAGATGGACCCTGGACGTTTTGGGGTGGTTGTCTGTCTGCACAGAGCAGGTATATGGGCCCTCGTCATACACGTCCACGTTTTGGATCATGATGCTGTACTGGGTTGGTGTGTTGACCAAGATGATCACACGAGGGTCTATGGACCACTTGTCACTCCCAGCGTAGAGGATGGTGCTGCGGTTTAGCCAGGCCACCCGGGTGACCCGGTCATCTATGGTACACCTGTGGGGTGCAGTGGAGGGGAAAAGGGGAAGGGAAGAAGAAAGGGGAATATTGAGGCAAGCAGAGAGGAAGAAAGGAGAGGGGGGATGGGAGAAAGAGAGCATTAAAAGATTATATTATAAATATAGTGATTGTATTTAAAAGATAAATAAAACAATAGAACCTAGTGCTGAAAGAAAACAATTAATTATTGATGAAGCTTCCTAAATATAAGTTAAGAGTGATCTGAGTCATCCTGAAGAACCGACAATACAAAATCATTTGCATTTGATTCATAGCCTGTAAATATCTTTGCTCTATATTTGCTTTCTATTTTATTTCTCCCCTAGGCTTATACAAAACTTATATTCCTTGAGCACATTTAGCATTTTGTCAGGGAAGTGGTCCACAGGCATGGGGAGAAAAAGTGGATCAGTATTACGAATAGGTCACAGATAATCCACAAAGCAAACAGCTAACTTGTTAGTCAAAAATTGAACATGTTTACCTCCAGACATCTGGGTGCTGATAATCCCCTGAACTCCTATGCTGCCCAATGATGGCAAGCTACAATTTATAACATGGATGGGCAAAATTCACCTTAGAATACAAACAGTTTTGGAGGAAGCCATGGCCACCTCTTAAAATTTCAGGAGAGAAAAGAAGAAATGGCCAGTTTCTCTGCCTTCTCACGCTCCTCCCTCTGTGTTCGGAGAGAAAAGAATATGGCCAATGTCACCTAAGTTATCAGCATTCCTCTCACCTACTAATAACAACACCTGGAGGCAAGTGGAATTTGCTTTTTGGTGTGCATCACCTGCTGGCTACCAGGTTTAATACATATGCCTGTTGGTCAGGAACAAAAGTTGCCCATGATCCCCAGGGGCTTAGAACCTGTAAAGAGAAAATGAAGAAGGGAACCCTTTATAAATGTGGGTCTGTGAGGAAGGGCATGACTTGAGTTTAAGCCACGCCCACCTGGTCATCAACACTGTAGTTGGAAACTGAGTTGGGATATCTGAGTAAACACAAAAGGGCAACTGAAGCCCTGCTGCTTCCCTCAAATGTGCGAGCAGAGGGTAGGAGGTGTGCCTTCTGAGGACAAGTAGTGTGAATCCAGTGCCCCAGGTGATGTGATGGGAAAAATGCTGTCATTCCTTACTTCACTGATCCCATTTGACTGACAGCAGAGATCCTTCAGACAGGGCTGCAGAGATGGCCAGCCTGTGAAGACACTGGCGGTGGGAGAGAGAGAGCACACACATGCTGGCTATGCTGCTTCCCTGTGGCAAAGCAGCCAGCCTGGCGGGGTCCAGGGAGCAGAAGGGTCCTGGAGCACCATAGTCACGGCTTTCACTGAAAAGGGAATGCATTGAGCCCAGAGAAGTGCTCTCCCCTGTTGGTAGGAGGAGTGGAAACAATGCCAGCTCCCAGTTACTGAGGTCTTTTAGGTACAGTTTCACCTATCCTTGTGTGTGTGTGTGGGGGGGGGAGGATCAGGTTGGGGTGGGGTCGATAACTAGGTGCTTTTGAATGGTAATAGGAGGAAATTCTTCTCTTCTAAATTGTCTTTATTTGCCATTTTTTCAAACTACAAAAGTAAAATAAACATGTTTAAACATGTGAACAAATACAATACAGAGATGCATAAAAGCCAAGCTACTCATTCTATCCCCACCCAACTCCTGGCTCCCCAAGGTCATTATTCCAGGAACAGCCTGTTATTTCTCCTTCCACCTGGCCCCCTGACAAACCCACACGTGCATATGTGAAGTTTGTGTTGATCTGTTTTTACCTGAAATAGAATCGTACTCAAACTTTCCTATGAAGCTTTTCTTTTAACTTGGCCACAGGTATCTCTGCACACCAGGAGTCAGAACTAATTGTGTAATTGTTTCTAGGAAACATCAGTGACATGGGTTTTGGGGGCCCCAACTGCACTCATCATTAGGTCCTAAAAACTCAGGTGTCATTAAATGACTCTCTCCCACCTCAACAGTGGTGTCATTGGTATAAAGAAAAATTGAAGTCATGTTTTTTTGTTTTTTCCAAATCCTGGGAAGCTAGTTTCACTTTCCTCAAAATTTTTCCTTCTATGGAAAATTTGCCACTTCTCTTATGAAGAAGACAAAAGCCCAGAAGGAACTTCCCTGCTTTAAACTTTCAAAAATCTTTTTTTTAGAAAAAATGATAAACTCATTAATTCACTCTCAGTCGTAAATGATTGATAAGGTCACCCCTATCCTGATGGCAGCTGCATTTTCCTACAGACTAAATTTCTGTTTAAATAACTCCTGGCAGTTCTAGTTGTACAGTCCAGGGATTTGCACGCCTGGAAGTGAGCGGTGATGAGGCAGAGTGCACAGTTCTGTCTCCAGTCCCCAAACCACTAGAACACAGGCAATGACGTGCAAACAAAGCGTCTGGCTTCCGTTTTCTCAATTATGTAATCCCTTGCACAGTTTTAAGTTGACATAATTAAACAAATTTAAGTTATAATTACAAAGAGTGTGTTTTTTGTCTCTGGAAAATATTCACATTTTAAAATGAAAACACCACACACACACAATAAAATTTAAATACCATAGCAATCTGATACTCAATATTATCTATTTTCTTTTTATTTAATATCCTCATCCAAGGATATGTTTATTGATTTCTAAAGAGAGAGAAAGGGAGAGAGAGAAACATTGATGTGAGAGAGACCCCACCGATGTGAGAGAGAAATGTTGATCTGTTGCTTCCCATTTGCACCCTGATCAGGGATGGAACTTGCAACCTTTTGGTGCAAAGGACAACGTTCCAACCAGCTGAGCCAGCCAGCCGGGCCTTGATTATCTCTTTTCAACACTCATAAACAAGTTCTGCTTTAACAGTTACATAATGTACATCCTTCCTTCTTTAAGTATAAACTTGTGTTTCCATTGTATGTCCTCCGTAGCACTTCATCCTGATATATTTTATGTTTGAAAATCTTTTATTGATCAGCTATCAAATTTATATATAAATTTAAATCTCTTTTATGTTCTGTGACCATAAAGCTCTGGGTAATAATATTTTCTTTTAGAATGAGTTATCAATACAAGGATAATATTGATAAAACAACATAAATATATTGTCCATGTTGTTAAGTAATAATTAAATGTAACAAGTAAGCTTTTACTGGAAATAAAGCTCTTAGCAGGATATATGAGGCTTTTAAAATTATACCATAAATATAATGAGATAGAGCTAAGGATCAATTCTATTTCTATTCCTATTTTTGCTTTAAGAAAAACCTGGTTCACATTAGCAAGGATATGAAAATGAAAATCTTGTATAGAAATGTCACTCAATTCTTTGAACCTTTTCCAAAATATATGCCAAAATTCACATAGTAATATAGCTTCAAAAATTATTTTAATGATCACACAGCTGACAATTCAATTAGTTCCTCCTTCAATTTCTTTTAAAGCTATGAATTGGAAAATACCTGACTTGCAAAGGGCTTTGTAAGTCAGTATTACATTCATTCCATTTCTCAATATCTAGACAGTACACTGCTAATATTTTACTAGGCTTTATCAAATGACTGTTAAAGTAAGAGAGTGAAGAAAAATTCTCTCCTGGACAATTACTAAAGTGGAAGCAGTCAGAAAGGAGAATTAGAATTACAATTCAGTATCAGGCTTCTCAGGCCCATTTTGGAAAATATGAGATCTTGAAATATACTACCTTAGACCTGCCCTCTTCTTGTGTAAGACCTATAGCTGCAGATGGCAGTGTTCGCAACTGGTTCAGATTACCAGGGGGCCTAATAAGGGCTGACCTTGAGACAGGTCAGTCCAAATCCAACTCCCAGGGTCAGAACATACTCTCATGCTGAACCACACAGCCCATGGAGAGCCTATGTTCCCCTAGGGTAGGGCTAGACTTACACCGGTTAGATGACCAGGGCCCGATTTTGAGGCTCTCAGACCTAGGCCTAATTAGTGGACATGAAGGGCAAGTGGAGGGGAATGACTGGACAAAAGCCATTTCCCAAGTGGAGCAGAGCTGAATCACCGAGTCCATGCAGTCCTAGAGCCTAACAGATGATAAAGAAACTTGGTACAATGAGGATGCTGGTTGAAGACAGTTATTTTCCTCATAATGTTTCTGTGCTTTAGAAGAAAGAATAGTGTTAATGCTTCTATCTTTCTTCCATCACAATAGGGCCTTTTTTACTGTCCTCTGAATAGCAGTAAGAAGAAGGCAGAGAAGGATTTAATAAATATGCTTAAGTTTCTGCCAAATTGGGCTCCTTCCCTGCTGTTCATGGCAATATCCTGGACTTTTATTAACAACAAGCACATGGAAGAGAATTTTTGATGTTAAATAAAGGGATCTAAGAGGAAAGTCGAGAAACATTAATGTCAACTTCCTGATTTTTTAAAATATATATTTATTTATTTTTAGAGAGAGAGGAAGGGAGAGAGAAAGAGAGAGAGAGAGAACCATCAGTGTAAGAGAAAAACACTGATCAGCTTCCTCACATATGTGCCCTAACTGGGGACCAGACCCACAACCCAGGCATGTGCCCTGACCAGGAGTTGAACCAGCAAGCTTTCTCTTTGAGAGACAATGCCCAACCCACTGAGCCATGCTGGGCAGGAAAACTTTCTGATTTCTTGAGAACTCTTTAAAGTATTTAAAATTTTCACAATCCGAGCTAAACCTTACTATTGGCCCTTGATAATAGAACTCATTATAACTCTATCACAAGAAATGTCTAAAATTATATAGTGCTTATTCTGGGGCTGGCACAACTTACAAACTTTTCTTATATTAAATCACTTGATCTACGCACATTTTACAAATGAGAAACTGAAACACAGAGAGGTTCAGGACTTCTAAATTCCACAGCTAATTCTATCAGAGCAGGGAGTTAAAACTTAGGCAGGTTGGCACTAGAGTTTCTATACTTGAGGGCTATGATAGTCTCTTCAAAAAGAAAGTGCTTATGTGGACCACAAAAGGCCCAGAATAGCCAAAGAAATCTT